TGTGTGTGTGTGTGTGTGTGTGTGTGTGTGTGTGTGTGTGTGTGTGTTGGGGGTGAGGTGGAGGGAGTAGGGCTTGTAATTTCCTTAAGGTCTATGTGACATTCCTCAGGTAGAGGGTGGAGGGTTCAGGATCCTCCAGGGAGAGAAGAGGAAGCCTAACTGACAAAGGGAGTCTGTCATTTCGCACCACGCTCAGAGCTTCCTGCTATTGCCAGACTCCAACCTTAGCAGCAGGGCGGTTTTTGCCAGACATTCTCTAGTCTCCTCCTGGGGTTGTGTACTCATTGCGTATTCACCTGGTACCTGTGCGTTAAGGTGCGCATTCATGTCTTAGGCACCACAGTTAACGCAGAAAGTTCCCAGAAGCACTTAGTGAGCTGGTGCCATTTTGCTTGGTTGAGGGCAACAAGAGACATTTCATGTTGGCTCAGGTCAATTTCAGTCTTTGGGCATGGTCAGCGTTCTTCACCATGTGTCTTAACTCCCAAGGATCTGTTTCATTCATCAGAGCATAGTATCAGTGTCAGAATTCCTTAGGTTAGGAAAAGAAAATTCCAGACTGCCTTAGGTCTTTCTCTCTTGACCACTTCAGGAAAAATTAGGAAGTGGCGTCAGAATGTTTGGTGGTATTTTAATCTCCTGGTTCTCTAAAAACAAAGCTTGTTTTGATTCCCAGACATGGATAGGTAGCAGGGTATGGTGGCTCATGACTATATTCCTAGTATTTGAGAGGCAGAAGCAGGCAGATCTCTATGAGTTTGAGGTGACCCTGGTCTACAGAGTGAGTTTTAAGCTCAGCCAGAAGTGAAACTCTGCCTCAAAAAACCAAGGAGGAGGAGGAGTGGAGGGCAGAGATGAGGAAACCGGACAGGGCTTAGAGAAAAACTTACAAGAATGCCTGTAAGAGGTAAAAGTCATTTGTTCCTTTCACCAGTATGTACTGAGCACACACATGTGCTAAGAATTCTTCCAGAATATCCCATTCATAGGATATATCCACGAAGAATAAAGAAAAAAAAAAAAAACACAATTCTCTTTCTGGGGGAATTTACTAGTTTTTGTGGCCTGTTCTCACTTCCTGTCCTCTGCTTCCTGACTGCAGATACAATGTGACCAACCTCCTCCTGTTCCTGCTCCATGCCATCCTTCCTTGCTGTGATTGGCTGTATTAAACCTTGAGCCAAAGGTACCCATCCTTCCTTCATTCACTTTAGCTAAGTGTTCTGTCACAGGCCCCAGAAAAGTGTCTAACACAGTGGCCATTCTGAGTGTAGCCATGTTTTAGTTACTTATTTTACTTATTGCTGTGTAACAAAATGTCCCATCCCTACTATCTTAAAAAGAAAAATACTTGGGTATGGGATCACTCAGCACTCAGGAGGCACAGGCAGGTGGATCTCTGTGAGTTCTAGGCCAACCAGGACAGCCAAGGCTGGTACACAAAGAAACACTACCTCAGAAAAAACAAACACACACACACACACTCTCTCTTTTTAGGTGCATAGTCCTATCTGCCCCACCCCCCGCCAGCTCTGTCTCTGTGTCTCTCTCTCTGTGTACTTGAGTGTATTCATGTTTGGGAGTGCAGGCTCTTGTGTGCCATGGTGCACTTGTGGAAGTCAGGAGCAGGCAACCCTGGGTGTCAGTCCTTGCCTTCCACCTTGTTTTCTGTTGCTCACGCAAGGCTGGCTGGTCTGTGAGCGTCTGGGCATTCTTTTGCCTCCATTTGCCATTCTCACTGTAGAAGCACTGGACTTACAGATGAAACACATAACATGTTTATTTGGCTCACCACGCTGTGATCTGGGCAGAGCAGTTCTTTCTCCCTGTCTCCTGGACTCAGAGCCTCTGATCTGCTGCACCGTCTGTGTTTTCATCACTCCAGCTCAGCCTGATTCCCCAGATGCTACTATGGCGAGAGAAAATGTCTAAGTGCCGGTGGGAAGTAAGGGAGCATGTGTTCAAGCTGTAGTTCAGCCTCTCAGTCTTTCCTCCCAGGCTGGGTTCAGGTGACTGGAGAGTGCAGGAGGCTTTATAGAGCATGGAGTTTAGGTGCCTGGTGGTTGCCTTAGTCTTGTCCTAGCTGTGACAAATTATGGCTTTGTTTTGTGTTGTGGTTCGAGAGGACATAGCCAACCATATCAGGGAAAAGAGGAAGATGAATCTGGTGCTCAGCCCACGTTCTCATTTTCTCTTTTCAAGTCAGTCCGAGAACAGACTCTTTAGGTGTGTCTCCTCAGTGATTCCAAATCCCGTCAACCTGACAGCGGAGATGAATCGTCACAGTGGTGTAAATCTCCCTGCTTTGGCCTCCTGTCACGCACAGTGCATCTTTGCGAACATTTTCAAGCTAGTGTCTTCTGTAGCCCACGCTAGCCTTGAATTCTCTAGGTAGCTGAGGCTGACTTTGAACTTCTGATCCCCCTTCCTCTACCTATATGATATAATCACAGGCGTGTGCCACCATGTCCAACTTTAGAGGTCTTGTCTTGTGAGATAAATTACTTATTTGACTGAACCATTCTTTGCTAAGTTTTCTAGAGCCAGAAACCAATCAGGACTCTAGCTGATTCACTGCTGTCCCAAATTCCTTTAAACATCCATTCACGTATAGGAAGGCCCCTCATCCATATGTGTATGTATCTGAATATACGCCACATGAGTGTGGGTACTTGTGGAGGCCAGAAGAGGGTGCTGGACCTTTTGAGGCTGGAATCACAGGCAGCTGTGAGTTGACGGACATGAATGGTGGGAATCAAACTCAGGTCCTTTTGAGCAGCAGCAAGTGCTCTTAATTGCTGAGCCATTTCTCCAGCCCTCTATGTTTTTACCTTTAATTCTGTTTCTCTTGCTGGATCAGTTTCAGTTTTTCAGACCAGTCATCTTTAACCATCACAGCACTTTGCAACTAAACCACTAGAAATAAAAGAGTCAGAGGGCTGGGCACTTCGCCCATGGTACTACATGCCACCCAAATTCTCCCACTAAAGAGCCTCTTCTTTGACACCTGGACTTGAACAATGGAAAGCAGAGTCCCTGCTGCATGCTACCTTGGTCATCTCATTCCCCGTTCTGGCTTCCTGTCAGAAAGACTTCCTCCACTTTCTGGTTGATACTGACAGTGGCTTTTATCGGGAGGGACAGGAGTGCATCTTATGTACCTACACACAGCCATATCCTCTGTTGTTAGATTTCCTGCTAAGGGCAAGGAGGTTATCTTTTCGTAAATGCTGCCCCTACCAACTCAATTCAGGTTATGCAAGAATGGAGCGACATTTCCTGGGAAAACCGAGACCATTTGTTATAAACTGACTAATGCACAGCAGAACTAGCCAGAGAATGTGGGTTTTGGATTCTTATTTGAGTGAGGATGGGGAAAACTGGTTGGGCTTGAAAGATTTTCCCATCATCATTCGTGCATACAGAATGAGACCCAAGAAGAGAACCACGAAGGAATGTTACACTACAAGCTGCCAGGATTCACAAAATGAGCTCTTTAACACAAAACAAGGTGTGGAAGACAGTCAAGTACAGCAGAACCAAGAAAAACCAACCCCATTCTCTCTGAAGCCACAGAAAGCAAGCAGAAAAAAAGGAAGGGGGGGGGGGAATCTCAAACCACCATCTATGAGATGTCACTACAAAGTATTGTGGAATCAAAAACATTCTGTTTTCAGTTGTAGCCTGTTTGATCTCCTAACATTCCGGATCCCTCTTTCTACATTTCTCCCCATAGGTATTTGTCAGTTTTGATTACAGTCTATAATCTATGGTATTTATAGCTTATTGTTATCTACCCTTTTCTCAGGCCCCAATAGTGTGAGTTACACATGGGTGGCAGCTATTGATGCTTATTTTGATTCAGTGATGTGGAGCGAGCCTTACCCACAGTTCTGATTGCTGTGGACTCAGCTGTCTGTGGTTGGCAGTGGTTAAAAAATAGTAAATGTCCAGATGATGGTGCGAGTCTTTAATCCCAACACTGGTGAGGCAGGGGCAAGCATATTTCCGAGTTCAAGGCCAGCCTGGTCTACATAGTGAGTTTCAGGATAGCCAGGACTACACAGAGAAACCCTGTCTCAAAACAAAAACAACCAAAAAGTAATTAGAAGATTCCAAAAATGAACAATGTGTAAGTCAAGATCGCTTTCTGAGGAGCATTGATGGACTCTCATACCATCCTGGTCCGTTGTTCCCAAAGTGAGAATTTCCCCTTGGCCCAGCAATTCTGTATAATATATGCCACTACCAATCAGACACTGAGTAGTCACCTCAGTGACCAGGGGACCCTGCAATCTTCATGGCTGAGTGAGGAGGTCAGGAGAAGCCAACACCGTGGTGACTATCTGCCTTGAATGTCTCTTTATCACATGTAACCATTCACAATATCATGAGAAGTGTTACAGGGCAGTAAGACATAGGGAGGGAGGGAGAGATCGTACTCTTCTTAGTATGTATATGTCATAATTGTTCTTTTTATTATTAGCCATCATTTCTAATTTTTCTCTATATCCAATTCACAAATTAAACTTTGCCACAGCTATGCAAATAGGTCTATGTAAGGTTTGTGTAAGTAAATAGTGCTCTACACTGTTTGGCTCTACATCTGTTTTCAGTCATCTCCTGGGGGTGGGGCTTGGAATGCATTCTCTGTGGATAAAGGGAGGTTGACGGAGTTCAAAAGCTTAAAATGGCTCCTGGAATTTGGTTACTACTCAGCGAATAGTTTGGAATATAATTGAAGTTGCTTCTGAACACCCTATCAGCACACAGACCTCTCCAAGAATAGGTGTGTTAGAAAGTTCAAACTCAAATAGTAGTAGCACATTGTCTCATGAGAAAGAATTTGTTTAATGATGGAATAGAGGAGAAATGTTAAGGGGGAAGATGACCTACAGAGAAACAAGTACAAAACCCAAGAAGAATTCATTGTCTTGGGTTCACTGAGTGCCATGTACAGCTCTTGATTGCTGAGACAAAGGAGTGCTAAGAGTAGGAATGTGCAGGGAGGGGTGTTTCCAAGTGACAGATGTAGACCCTGCCTGCTAGTGGGCCCAGCACACCCAGACGGAAGTCTGATGCCCCGCAGTGTTCTTTAGCAAGGGGCTGGCCAAGCAAAATTGGCTTCCATGAAAAAGATGAACACCAGGGACAAAGAAGCCAGTAAGAGAACCAGAGAAAAATGGCATCGTGGGGCATGCCTTTAGTCACAGCTTGTGGGAGGCAGAGACAGGAGGATCTCTATGAGCCTGAGGCCATTCTGGTCTTCATAGCACCTTCTAGGTAACACAGTGAGTGCCTATCTCAAATATATATATCCAATCAAACAGCTAAACAAAACAAAAACAAAAACCCCATGAGAAAAATGTTACCAAGAATAAGAAAATACAGAACAAATACTTTTCTTAAATTAAATAGGAGAGAAGAAAAAGAAAACCACATGAGTTCTTTGCCAAAAGAGCTCAAAGAATAGATGCTAGGGTACAAAGAAGATACTTTTCAAGAATGCTAGGATGAGATAAAATGTGATGGAATAACTCGGGGTGGGAATGAAAGGGAAGATTGAAATCATGTGTTAGAAGCAGCAGAAGAAAAAAAGTCATAAAATATATTAAAGATACAAAGCTATAAGTTACAAAGATGTAAAGCACAAGTTTAGGAAAATGGAACAAAACCACAAATGAACTTAAAAAGACCAGAGTGGAAACAGTAGAAAGATAAAACAGCTTTTATTTCTATCATACACTGAGGAGAATGATTTCTAATAAAGCCATTCTCACTCCATGACAGGCTTCAAAATTGGCTTCAGACTGAACAGGCTTGAGTTTATAGTTCTTGGAATATGAGTCTACAGTCCAGGGAAACCAGATACAATAACTCAAAACCAGAAACAGTAACTTTGTAAAGTCCCCAAGCACTTGACCAATCAAATTAAAGGTCAGTTAGAAACACTTTTTCTATCTAGTCAAAACGATACAGTGTAGTGTGAGCATACCCAGAAGGAAGGCGTGGGAGAAGAACAAGGGAGGATTGGATAAAGCAAGACTGAAGTCCAGCAAGGAATGCATCAATCTTCAGCTTGGTACCAGGCATGAGAACACGTGGTGTCCTGATGCAAACCCCAAAGGCCTTGGGTAGTCCAACACCTATGGTCTTGCCATTTGCAGTTCACACGGCGCCTCTCCTCTGGCTGGTTCCACTCATCGCCTGCAGCCTCCATACTCTTAGCATCTTTAACTACCTGGGGTCTCCTCTGGAGCTTTAACTTCATCCTCAGAGCCATATATCCTTCTTGGGCTTCCCGTAGGAATCCATCCTCTATCACCAAGACAGGAGATATAAAATGGCCAGGTAGTTTTCCATAATGGGATCTGAGTACCATTAACATTAACCATATTGCTCCCAAGTGTTCCTTCATAAAAGCTACCAAGTGGTTTAAAATGCAAGGCCCAGAGGTAAAAAGCAAAATCATGATGAGTAGGGGTCCCAACAGGGTGGATACAAGGGTAGTAAGCCAAGGAGAACTACTATATCAGTGTCGCTGCGACACTTGAATACCTCCTGAGTGAGGGCTGGTGGAAAGAAAGGCAGGACAAGGAGGACACCAGGTCAAGTTCTCTGATCAAGGTGCCAAAGTTTACTGAACAGAGAGCACAATATAAGTGTTAACAGAAGGAAGCAAAACCACACTGACATTGGTGTTACCAGGGCAACGATAGCATACAGTGTCAGGAGAGCAGCAGCTGATTTCTTGTAAATGCTAGCCCTTCTTCAAAAACGAAACTTAAGCAGCAAAAGCTGAACCAAGCTATCCCACGACGGCCAAAATGGCTCCCATATATCAAGATTCAAACCATCCTCCAGAATCCTCTCTTTCCACTGTCTCTCCAGGCTTTTTTTTTTTTACTCTTGCTAAGGATTCCCTAATCACCCCCGAGTGATTTACATAAAAGCAACATTCCTCTCTAAGGGCTGCACATAGCCCACCTGACTGTAGAAACAACAGATCCAAGCTCCTTCTGTTTTGCAGCACTACTTCTACCAGGGAATCAACATTCTTTTCTAAATGGGTGACTGAGTTCAAGGCACTGAATATCTTTATCAACATCTGCCTCTAAGCTGTTATAATTCTGGCCTTGTACAGCCAGTGCTGCAATACCACTTCCATTTCCAGCAAAGCTGGTCCCCAAGGAAATAGCTAATGTCAGGGAGCCCCTTTTGACTTAGTATTTCAGCCTATTAAGTAGGATAAAGGTGGATGAATTTCTCTTCTTCTGTGACCTCTTCAGGCTGACATTGGGATGGAGATATTGGGAACCCAGAAAGGCTGAAAGGCTAGTCAAAAGCTAGGCAATGGGGCACCATCTAATTAGAGATCCAGTTGAAGAGACAGGAGGCCATGACATCAGCTAGACTGGTTTACATTAGCTTCAGCAATTCCAAATCTCAGCTCACAATCCATAGCTGATCCCTGAATGGAGTCTGTCAGCCAGGTGAAAATCTGCTGAGACAAATTTAGACTAAAGACAAAAGTTAAAATTTGTCTAGTAAATGGAGAAAATAAGGAATCCCAAGACCAAGGAAAAAACTAATCTGGATTCCATTTGAGCTATGGCAGACCCAGGTCTTATGACTTTTTTGATATCATGAAACTCAAATGAATTTTAGTTTACAAAAGGAAGTATATTACTATCACTACCATATTGAGATCCATACTTTAGAAAAAGCAGGTAACAGGTATCTGCAAGACAGCAGGAATAGACTTATGCCTTTAAGACCTAGTAAAAGCTTTTTGGTCAGAGATATACACATTAGACAGATGTTTTTAACATGAGGAGAAGTACCTTTAAGTCTATCTCCAGCAGACAACCAAAAGGAAATCAAAATCTCAAGCTTGTGACTGGATAATAAGCAGTCAGTGCTCCATCAGCTTATCAGAACTCTATTTATCAATGTTATAACCGTGAACTTTTGAAATCTTATAACAACATAAGTACAACAATAGCATAGATGAGGGAGAGAAATCTGAGATCTGTCCCATTTTAAATACGCCTTAAATTACTTTCTTATGCCATTACAACTTGCATTCACACACTTTAAAATACCTTTTTAGAGTCACAAACACTTTACAACTTGTATTTACCAACCTTAAAATACCTACTTAGACCTTCCAATCTTTCTTGCATTTACCAACTTTGAAACACCTTCTTAGAGAAGCTTTTTTTCATAACTTTCATTTGCCAACCTTGAAACATCTTCCTGGAGCCTCAATTTTTTAAAAAAAATTCCTATCTTTAGGCCTTACATAAACTTTACATCTTTCTATCCATTATTCACCGTAAGACACAGGCAGTTAACATTGGAGCAAGGCAAGCCTGTTTGCCTTTCTAAATAAGAGACCTGGTACCTAGTGGTTCTAACTAGCTAATGAATTGACCAGTGAACTAATAGTGAATCTAATTGTCTGCTCTTTAGCTGCAAAGTTACCATTAGATTAGCTTAGCCATCAATGTGATTAGAGACCTGAGAAGGATAAATTATAACCTAAATTAATCTATGTACCAATCAAAATGACAGAGAGTACTAGTCAGTCCACCACCTAGGCATTTGTCCCTGGCTCCTGTGGTTTCAAGGCATCATGAGCAGAGGCAGAGCAGCTATTAGGCCTAGAAGATTAGAGATTGTGTGGTAAAAGAACAACATGAGAGAACAGCCTCACCTTGCCTTCAGCAATGTGAAACAATGACTCTCCAGGTGTTCATAGTTTTGTCCAGTTTAGGCTGGGTCCTAGCAGTAAGCCAGCTGGGGCAGTCTTGCCCAGTGCTTAGCATACCACAATCCAGAGTTGAAGTCATCTGTCATTGTGCCCAAATCTTCTTGGAGACCTTGGGGAGCTACCAGGATTTGGGGACTTTTTGTCTGTCATAATAAGCTTACACATGCTAAAATGCCATATTCCATAGATCTCTGACAACCTTGAGGGCCAGCATATGGCTTACTTTTTGCCTATGTTTAGTTATTTGCTCTAAACTGCATTCTGTAAAATAGAATGTGTAGTTAAGTGTTTTAGGACCGTATCTATTTCAAGTAGATCTACATAGGCAAACTTTGTAGTTGCCCATTCTAGGCTTAACCTTGGAAAAATAAGCAAGAGACTAGGTAAATCTGAATCTTGTAACCAACTGCAGTCATTAGCATAACTTTAAATATATTTCTGAACTAAAATCCAAACTTTTAATTGTACAGTTCGTAGAGGGCTGGCAAACCTTGCTGATCCTGCCACCTTGTATTATTAAGACTGTACAGCAAAAAAACTTAAAGGACAGAAGTTGCACTTAGCACTAAACAGGGAACTGAACACATTTGACAGCCCTCAACAAAGATGGTGGTGAAACCATGGCTCCACCCTCTTTCTCCCTGAACCAACATGGCGGCCAGTCACGTTTTGTTACAGGCTGTGGCAGGCAATTTATAACATACCCATTAGGTGTTGCTGGTGATGTTGCTGCCTCCCACGTGGTATAGCACTGTGGAACATTTACAGTTTCCCAAAACCAAGTTTTAACACTGTAATCAAAGACATTTAGAACCAACTACCTAACAGAACAGTATAGAACAATTTTTAAAACTGTCTTGAACTACTTTGGCCACACCAAACCGATCAGCCAGGAAGAAACAGCATTAATCCATTCATTCAGGAACTGGCAGCCAGGCACAGGTCTGAATCATACATACAGAATGCCACAAAAACACAACCCTGAATTATATATATACATATATATATATATAATCCATAAAGACATTATTATAAAATACCTGATAAACTTTAAAAAGTTTCATGGCCTTAAACACATTTTTAAAAGAAATCTGTTTTTGCAATATCAAAATAAAGTACCCTTCTTAGGGGTGAAGTCACAAAACATAACCATAATTTTAAAAGTCAAAAACCAAATTTTACCAGTGTAAACAATTTAATCTCTAAAACCAATACAAATTTAAAATGAGATTTGTCTTCTTAGTCGAAAAAGATATACAGGATGATAACTATAACTTATTACAACTAAGAGGTTCTGTAATTTTGTTTTTCCCTACACCACACCGTGTGGCAATTTCAAGATGGCAGAGTCACATGGCATGGCAGGCCACATGGTTGCTATTTAAAAACATCAGCATTTCTATAGATAGTACAGACACACATGTACACATATGTATGTTCTAAATAAGAATTTGAATTTAAACTTTAGTGCATGTAGACACCTGGAAGGGTGGAGCCTAAGTTCAGGTGGAGGTGCTGGCATGTTTTGTGGGCACAGTGTGCCCTGAATTCCTCAGTGGCCCACAGGCCTGTTCTACTGTCCTCCAGGTTTTCAGATCTGTCTGAGTTGCAACATTTTGGCTCCAGGAACTGTTTGCCTGGACTCCACTGGGAGACCCACAGGACAGGGGCTTCAGTGTTGAGAACATACTGATCCCTGTGTTACCCACAGTGGGGGTGTGGGTGGGAGGGATCTGATGTCTGGCTGCTAGCATAGAGGGACCCTGGATCTGGGGTTCTGCATGCACTCACTCCCTTGCAGGCCTGATTGGAAACCACAGGGGTTCTGACTCCCTGCCACCCCCCAAGTTTTCTAGGTTTTCTGCTTTCAGATTTGGGCAAGCCAGGGCAAATGAAAGTGTAGGAGATCAGAAGCCGGGCAGGACTCCCATGCTTGGGGCTGCCTCTACTGTCTCAGTCACAGAGCTGGGAGGCCTGTGCCTGGATCCAGACTGTCCCTGCTCACAGGTTGTTCCCTCTAGCCCAGCAAGCCTCAATATCAATGTTCTGGCTTCAACCACCCCTCCACTCACCACTTCGGATCTCCTGCTCCTCAGATACAGTGCACACTGATCACCGCCATCTTGGATCCCCCTGAATTTAAACTTTAAACACATCCAATAACTGTTAATCTATAACCAAGGCATACAGAGCATATTAACCATTTAAGATTAGTCAGAAATGGATGGCCGTACATACATTTGAAACAAAACAGACAAAACTTTCCTTACTTCATTCAGCGGCAATTTCCAGCATTTTGTTATCTGTTGAATCTACGGAGGGGTTTGGGACTTGCTAGCAGTGTTCCCCAGGGTGCCTCATGATGGAGTCGCCCTTTGGCATGCCTCCTCGCCTCTGCCTTCTCATGCTGACCCCTAGAAGAGAATTGGGCACCATTATGGTGGAAGCTCAGCACTTTTCCTCCTGGAGGCCAGGCTTGCACAAGCTGCGCTCTTTGTAACAACACAAGCTCCCTGTTCCCCAGGATTTCAGCTAGCACTGCTGCCCAGGGGCAGCAACCCGAGGTGGGCATGGCTCCACACCGTGGGTAACGATGACACCACCCCTCCCCCTGCCATCTTCCCCAACCTAGCCTTCCCAGTAATCCAGGTGGAAAGGCGTGCTCCCACTGGCAACCAGAGGTGTCCCAGCTTGTAGGGCTGGGAGCATGGGGCAGGCAATGTCACCACAGAGCTTAGCTGTTTGGTCGCCAGCCTAAAGAGACCATCACAAGCAAAGAAAAACACAGAAGAATTAACAAGAAAAGAATGTACCAGTATAACACAAAGAGAACGGAAGAAGAAGAGGAGGAGGAGAAAGAAGAAGAAGGAGGAGGAGGAAGAAGGAAGAAGAAGGAAGAAGGAAGAAAAAAGGGCCTTCCGCCCTGTTCCATTAGGGGTGACCTGCCATGAAATCAGGTTCTACTCAACTACAGAGTTTGAAATGGTGCTTGTCATTCTGCCAGACCAGAGAGTGGAGCAACGTATCTGTTGAGCTCCATCAGATCAGAGGCCAAAGCAGCAGCTAAGCTCTGCCAAACCAGAGACCAGAAAGCAGTGACAGAGGTGCCAAGCCTGGGGCTCCACAAACTGTACCCATCCCTTGGCACCTCCTCACCACCATCACCAGAGCCTATGGAGCATGGCTCCAGCATCCCTGAAATGGGCAAGAACTAAGTCTAGGGGGTTAGAAGGAGTCTGTCCCTTGTTGTCAGTCAGTCCCGGAAAACAGGCAGTGACAGACAAGACACTCAAAAAGAAAGACACACACAGAGCCAAACAACAGATCCCACCACTCCTGTGGTGGAAAAACCAAAAGTAGGACAGCACCGAAGCGGCACTGTGGCAGTTACCCGCCTTGTCCTTATCCAAAGATCCAAAGATCACAGGCAACTGGGTGCTCTATCACCCTTTACAGATAGGGAAGCATCCGTCCCCTGGGAAGGGGTCTGGAATATCCTCCAGGTCCGCTGTGGCCCACGGTTGCCCCGTGCATCTGCTCTAACCGTTCCCGGCCATGCAGGTTACAGATTTTGCCTCAAGGCCTGAAGCAGAAACTAGAGGAACACCCACACAGACACAGACAGAGTGCTCACTTACCGGGAGGTGCTCAGCTCCACATGCCAGGGGTCCGAAGGAGTCTTGGTGAGCCCCAAAATGTTATGCCCAGGGACGACCAGGAGCCAGTGATTGGCTGACTAACATACCTAACATTGAGCAAGCTATCTATTGACCTAAGGAATGTTGGGTATTTTCTGTGCCACGAAATGTTCTACTGTAAGATTGTTGGGCTGCTCGGCACAGATGCCCCGTCACCCAACCGAGAGGCGCGCAAGTCTTCCGAAAGGCTTTGTCGCCCCGGGTACCCGTGTATCGAAATAAACCTCTGCGGCTTGCATCCGAAGGCTGGTCTCACTGTTCCTTGGGAAGCGGGGTCTCCCCGTCTAGAGAGGCTCTAGCGGGAGTCTTTCATTTGGAGGTCCCACCGAGATTTGAGACCCCCGCCCAGGGACCACCGACCCATCATCGGGAGGTAAGCTGGCCAGCAGAGTGTCTCTTGTCTTCATTCCGTCATGTGTTTGTTGCCTGTTCTATCTCTTGAGATTTGTACGATTCAGCTGAGTCGCTCTGTATTAGGCGGAAACTAGAAGGAGCTGATGAGCTCGGACTTCTTTTCCGCAACTCTTGGGAGATATCCCAGGAGTGTCTGGGGGCCCGATTTTGGGGGCCCGTCTGTTTGGAGACACGACCCAACCCGGACTTTTTGGGGCTTCGCCCCTGTCCGAGGACTAAGTGTCTCTTTTGGGAGACGGGGGATCCGGACCCTCTTCACAGTCTCCATCTGAAGTTTTGCTTTCGGTTTGGCGCCAGAATCGTGTCGCGCGCTGCGTTTGTGTCACTGTCTGTCTATTGTTTGTCGGGTTTGTGTTTGGTGTTAGTCTCTTTGAAACCATGGGACATTCTCTAACCACCCCCTTAAGCCTCACTCTACAGCACTGGAAGGACACCCGGAACATCGTTCGTAGTCACTCTGTAGAGATCCAGAAAGGAAAATGGGACACCTTCTGCTCCTCAGAATGGCCGACATTTAACGTCGGCTGGCCACGAGATGGCACCTTTAACCTAGATATTATTTTCCAGGTTAAGGCGAAAGTCATGGATTTAGGGCCACACGGCCACCCGGACCAGGTACCCTACATTGTTACTTGGGAAGCCCTGGCTCGGGAACCACCCTCATGGGTCAAGCCGTTTGTCACCCCCAGCCCCCTTGCTGTTCCCTCTGCCCCTGCCCTACCTCCTCCGCTGGTCCCCACACCCTCTAAGTCTGCCCTCTACCCAGCTATAACAAAGCAGACCCAAGGACGTGATCCAGGGGGCAAAAAGACACCGACGCCCCCGGTACTGCCAGCAGACGATGGCCCCTTGTTGGACCTGCTGACTGAAGAACCTCCTCCCTATAGGGACCAAGAGCTGGGAGAAGCCGCCATAGCTGGACCCCAGGAGGAACCGGCTCCTTCCCTGATGGCGGGGCGATTGAGAGAGCGCCGAGAGGCCCCTCCAGATTCCACATCTCAGGCTCTCCCATTACGAGCGGGACCCGACGGCCAGCTCCAATACTGGCCTTTTTCCGCTTCAGATCTATATAACTGGAAAAACAATAGCCCCCCTTTCTCTAGGGACCCTTCTAGACTTACTGCTTTAATCGAGTCCATTTTAGTAACCCACCAGCCCACCTGGGACGATTGTCAGCAGCTGTTACAGGCCCTCCTGACCACCGAGGAGAAGCAACGGGTCATTTTGGAAGCCCGTAAAAACGTTCTGGGGGATAACGGGCAGCCTACTCAGTTGCCAAACGAGATCAACAAGGCCTTCCCCTTGGAACGACCTGATTGGAACTTCGCCACAGAGGACGGTAGGAATCACTTACGTCTCTATCGCCAGTTGCTGATAGCGGGTCTCCATGGGGCAGCAAAGCGCCCCACTAATTTGGCCCAGGTTAAGTTAGTGACCCAAGGGTCAGAGGAATCTCCCTCCGCCTTCCTAGAACGACTAAAGGAAGCCTATCGTGTGTACACCCCCTATGATCCGGAGGACCCTAACCAGGCTACCAATGTGGCCATGTCCTTCATCTGGCAGTCTGCCCCGGATATCAAAAAATATTTTAGAAAGGCTTGAGAACTTAAGGGAAAGTACAATCCAGGATTTGTTGAAAGAGGTGGAGCAGATTTTCAACAAGAGAGAGACTCAAGAAGAGAGAGACGAAAGGTTGAGAAAAGAGGCAGAAGAGAGAGAGAACATTAGAGACCGCAAGAGGAATAGGGAATTTAGCAAATTGCTGGCCACTGTAGTGACAGGACAGAGACAGGATAGACAGGGCCTGGGAGACCACAGGGGTCCTCGGGTAGACAAAGATCAATGCACCTACTGCAAGGAAAAAGGGCACTGGATCCGAGACTGCCCAAAGAGACCAAAAGGGCCACGGAAGCCTAAGCCCCAGGCCACCCTGCTAAACCTGGAGGATTAGGGAAGTCAGGGTCAGGAGCACCCCCCTGAACCCAGGATAACCCTTAATGTGGGGGGGGGCAATCCGTCACCTTCCTGGTGGACACCGGAGCCCAGCATTCGGTGCTCACCACCTCATCGGGACCCCTGACTGACAAATCGGCCTGGGTTCAAGGAGCCACCGGAGGGAAAAGGTACCGATGGACAACTGAAAGAAGAGTACAACTCGCCACCGGTAAGGTGACTCACTCCTTTTTATGTGTTCCTGATTGCCCTTATCCTCTGTTGGGGAGAGATCTATTAATAAAACTCAGGGCACAAATCCACTTTGATGGGACTAAGGCCCACATTACTGGGCCACAGGGACAGCCTTTACATGTGTTAACCATAAATCTGGAGGACGAATACCAGCTTCACGAGCCTGAAAGGCCTCGGCCGCAAGAAATGACTGTCTGGTTAGAAAAATTCCCTTTAGCCTGGGCGGAAACAGGGGGAGTGGGTCTCGAAACCCACCAACCGCCCCTGGTAATTACTTTAAAGGCATCGGCAACTCCTATTTCCATTAAGCAATACCCGATGTCGCATGAAGCTTACCAAGGAATTAGGCCCCACATTCGGAGACTTTTAAACCAGGGCATCCTGGTACCTTGTCAATCCCCCTGGAATACGCCTCTCCTTCCGGTCAAAAAGCCAGGGACGGGAGACTACTGCCCAGTGCAGGACTTGAGAGAAGTCAATAAAAGGGTGGAGGATATACACCCTACAGTTCCTAACCCGTACAATTTGTTGACTGGGCTTCCTCCGACGTACACCTGGTATACGGTATTAGACCTTAAGGATGCGTTCTTCTGCTTGAGGCTCCACCCTCGGAGTCAGCCCATCTTTGCCTTCGAGTGGAAGGACCCAGAATTGGGAATGTCGGGTCAGCTCACTTGGACCAGACTCCCACAGGGGTTCAAAAACAGCCCCACCTTATTTGATGAGGCGTTGGCACCAGGACCTGGCTGACTTTAGGGTTCACTACCCTGCCTTAATCTTGCTCCAATATGTTGATGACCTCCTCCTGGCTGCGAAAACTGAGGAAAAATGTCAGGAAGGAACCAAGGCCCTTTTGAGGACCTTAGGAACTCTCGGATACCGGGCCTCAGCCAAAAAGGCCCAATTATGCCAGAGGCAGGTTACATACCTGGGCTACCAAATCAGAGATGGACAGAGATGGTTGACAGAGGCACGGAAACAGACAATCCTAAAGATTCCGGTGCCCAAAAGCCCGAGACAGCTAAGAGAGTTCCTGGGTACGGCGGGGTTCTGCCGCCTCTGGATTCCAGGGTTTGCGGAAATGGCTGCGCCACTTTACCCACTCACCAAGCAAGGGACTCTCTTTACTTGGGGAGATGAGCAGCAGAGAGCCTATGCAGCCATTAAAGAGGCCCTGCTAACCTCCCCTGCGATGGGGCTTCCGGACTTAAACAAGCCCTTTGAATTGTTTGTAGATGAAAAACAGGGATATGCTAAAGGAGTCCTGACCCAAAAACTGGGACCATGGAGGCATCTGATAGCCTACCTGTCCAAGAAACTTGACCCGGTGGCCTCGGGATGGCCACCCTGCCTGAGGATGGTGGCAGCAATTGCCCTCTTGACTAAAGACTCTGGCAAGCTGACTATGGGACAGCCAATAACAATTTTGGCTCCTCATGCAGTGGAAGCCCTGGTCAAACAACCTCCGGGCCGATGGCTTTCCAATGCCCGCATGACCCACTACCAGGCTCTACTGCTGGACACTGATCGAGTATACTTTGGCCCTATAGTAGCTCTCAATCCGGCATCACTGCTTCCCCTACCGGAGGGTCCAGAAACTCATGACTGTCTCCAGATACTCGCAGAGGTACATGGCACCCGGCCCGACCTGACCGACCAGCCCCTCCCTGACGCCGACTTCACCTGGTACACCAACGGGAGCAGCTTTCTGGATAACGGAGAACGGAGAGCAGGGGCCGTGGTCACCACCGAGACTGAGGTAATTTGGGCTAAGGCCCTACCACCTGGCACTTCAGTGCAGCGGGCTGAACTCATCGCCCTAACTCAGGCCCTCCGGATGGCGGGAGGTAAGAAGCTCAACGTTTATACCGACAGCCGCTATGCCTTTGCCACTGCTCACATCCATGGGGAGATATATCGGAGAAGAGGGTTGCTAACCTCGGAAGGAAAACAAATCAAAAATAAAGCTGAAATATTGGCCCTGCTTAAAGCATTGTTTTTACCCTCAAAACTGAGCATCATCCATTGCCCCGGCCACCAAAAGGGAGACAGCCGAGAAGCCAGGGGCAACTGCTTGGCGGACGTAACTGCCCGAGAAGCGGCGATGCGAAGCCCAGGTACCTCCCAGCTCCTGGCTATAAAACCAGCCGAGGCAGAGGTCCCCTCCATTCAGGAATCCCCCTTCCACTATAGTGAGGAAGATCAGGACCTCCTAAAAGAAATGGGGGCCACTTACAATCCCGCGCTAAGACTCTGGACTTTCAAAGAAAAACCTATGTGGCCCCTGCAACAGACTCGTAACCTGATTAAATACCTCCACAAACTGACTCACCTTAGCTCCAGAAAAATGAAAACCCTCCTAGAAAGGGAAGAAAGCTCCCACTATCTGCTGGGGAGGGATAAAATTCTACAGCAAGTGGCTGAAGAGTGCACAGCATGCGCCCAAGTGAATGCAGGACGCCATAGGGTAGGCCCGGGGACCAGGATCCGGGACATCGCCCCGGCGCCCACTGGGAGATTGACTTCACAGAGGTAAAACCTGGACTCTATGGATATCGGTTCTTACTGGTATTTGTGGACACCTTCTAGGGATGGGTAGAAGCCTACCCCACCAAACATGAAACTGCTAAAGTAGTCACCAAAAAGCTTCTGGAAGAAATCTTCCCCAGGTATGGCATGCCCCAGGCGTTGGGTTCTGACAATGGCCCTGCCTTCGTCTCCCAGGTAAGTCAGTTAGTGGCCAAACTGTTGGGGATCAATTGGAAATTATATTGTGCATACCATCCCCAGAGCTCAGAGCAGGTAGAACGAATGAATAGAACTATCAAAGAGACCTTATCCAAATTAACGCTGGCAACTGGCTCTAGAGACTGGGTGGTCCTCCTCCCATTGGCCCTATACCGGGCCCGGAACACCCCGGGCCCCCATGGACTCACTCCTTTCGAGATCCGGTATGGAGCCCCACCACCGGTCGTTAACTTCTTTGATCCCTGTGTAGCCTCCTTTGCTGACAGCCCCTCTCTAAAAGCTCATTTGCAGGCACTACAGATTGTCCAGAAAGAAGTCTGGAAACCCATCGCTGCTGCATACCAGGAACAGCTGAACCGACCGGTGGTGCCGCATCCGTTCCAGATCGGAGACACAGTTTGGGTCCGCCGACATCAAACCAAGAACTTAGAACCCCGCTGGAAAGGACCCTATACTGTGTTGCTAACAACCCCGACGGCGCTCAAGGTCGACGGTATCACAGCGTGGGTGCACGCCTCCCATGCCAAAGCGGCCCATCACGACGCAGAGCAAGATCAGGCTCCAGCCTCCTCATGGAAACTCCATCGCACCCAAAATCCACTAAAGATAAGACTTACCCGGGTTTGATATTCTTTCTCTTCCTATTCGCTCTGTCACACTCCAGTCCCCACATCCCTGTGAACTCAACTTGGGTCCTGCTAGATGGATTTGGTGTCCTCATTGAGCTCTGGCCTAAAGTTGTCTACCATGAATCTGAATACGTCTACAAACATTTTGAGGGGATCACCCGGTACTCTAGGGAGCCTGTATCTTTAACTTTGGCCTTAATACTAGGGGGACTCACAGTCGGGGGTATCGCAGCCGGAGTAGGGACTGGTTCTGCTGCCCTGGTAGAAACTACTCAGTTCCGACAACTGCAACAGGCCATGCACACCGACTTGCAAGCATTAGAAGAATCAGTTAGTGCTCTGGAAAAATCCTTGACCTCCCTTTCGGAAGTAGTCTTGCAGAATAGAAGGGGGCTAGATATCCTCTTCTTACAAGAAGGAGGACTATGTGCAGCTTTGAAGGAAGAATGTTGCTTTTATGCTGACCATACTGGATTGGTAAGGGATAACATGGCTAAACTCAGAGAAAGACTCAGACAGAGACAGCAATTCTTTGAGTCAGGACAGGGCTGGTACGAGAGATGGTTTAGTCGGTCCCCCTGGATCACCACCCTGATCTCCTCCATTATGGGTCCCCTAATCATAATTCTCCTGATTCTACTAGTTGGGCCTTGTATCCTAAATCGGCTAGTTCAGTTTATAAAGGACCGGCTCTCCGTCATACAGATGTTAGTGCTAACCCAGCAGTATCATCAACTCAAGCAGAGCTAGACCCGTAGAATGAAGGATTCCATTCTAAGCTAGAAGAAAAATGGGGGAATGAAAGAATAAAGCCCTAGCATAATGCTGGCAACACTATTTTGCAAGACTGAAACAGTACAAGGTCAGAAGCAAGGCAGGACAGATGTCCAACAGCAGGATATCTGTGGTTGGGCACCTGGCCTATGAGGGGAAACGGAAAGCCCCTGATAAAAACACTCTGGGTACCTGAGATAAGGGCCGGGTACGTGACTCGGCTCACATCTGCCTTCCCGCCTTCCCTGTTCCGGGTACGTGACACAACTATGGCTTTGTTCA